TATTCAATTATTATTTTTCCCAACACAAAAGTCATAATTAGTGATGGGAATCATTCGAATATCAGTATTCGATGCTACAACACAATATACGTAACGAAAATTATTGGTTTAAGTTTTCACGCAACACAAAATGTTTTATAATAATATTATATGGCGCATAAAGGCCTGCGAGAAGTGGATTCGAAGCCAGCGATGTTTACTATTTGACARGGAAATTTATTAAAATCCAAAAATAAAAATTGTGCAAAATACTGGAATATTATAATTAAATTATTAATAATAATGTATAATAAGTTACAACAAAAAAAATAATAAGTAAACAAATGGTAACTACGAACAGCAGGTACCTGCAAGATAAGAATTATTTTCGTATTTAGGTCGATTAATCATTGACATACATTATCTTTAGTTGTGTAGATATGAATTAATTATTAATAAATAATAAATAATAAATAGTATAAAAAGCTTGCCATGGAAAAACGGATAAAAAAAATTAGGTATTGTAGCATCGAATACTGATATTCGAATATTCGAATATAGGTATATTACATTACTAGACATAATATCATTATTATAACTCTCGCTACTTTTTCAGTTTCAAAACAAGTAAAGGCGTCGGGTATTCAGCGCATTTCGTGGGAAACTGTTTAGTGTTGACCTCCATGAAGATTAAAGGCAAAGGTTTCCAACATTGCGTAAAATATGAATTCCAACCYCGGAAGGTAAAATTGTGTTTCTCTATTGCGCCCGAACTGTACTCGTCGTTCAACGGGAAAATGTAAAATTGATATTGTACCTACATATGTATTTGTTTATTTATATTTCAGTGGTACATGATAGCCATTGTGTACATTTACAACAGATGGACGAAAAGCGAAATCAAATGCGTKGTGAACGGTCAACTGGCATCGAGTACAGAAATGGCCTGGTTCGTGTCTGCCAATGAGGTACGTTTAAATCATTACTGGTTATAAAATATGTTATTATTTATCATCATCACACCAACTCATAGCCACAACTAGGTAAATTTTTCTGGGATTCGGGGGGTTGGATTCCGGAATTGCTGTATTAATAGCACGATAGACCCTGATAATTCATATTTTAAACAAAAATATAATTAAAAAACTGAGGGAGGGCAAATGATTAAACTATAGAGTAATGACCTATATATTCGGTATTTCAGAATATCGGTTTACCACAATATCGACAATTAACGAAAATACTGTGTATTAATACTATGTATGCCTAAATTTATTTATTTATTTTCATATAATCATAGCGACATTATTTTATTATATTATAMAAAGGAGTAAGGCAGTTGTCAGAAAAATGTATTTCACGAAGTGGTGGGCAGTGATACCTACGTTTAAAACCACACATATTATACGAAATAATTAAATTYAGCAAATAACCAAAAAATATAATATAATAACTAATAATTTTACAGCTTAAGTTTTACAAATTGTAATATTATAATAATATTAAAAATTGAGCGAATCAACCCAGACCACAATTATGTTCTGCTACCACTTATTCTGGAAATTTGAAAAGCAGTACCAGCTACTTTGATAAAATTGTAGTTGTAGATATGGTGTATTAGTGTATTACACATTTAAAAATAACAAAMATAATTTTTATAGATTTTTCCAAAATATCTTTATCATTGAATTGTACAATATTTAAGAATTTCACAAAATAATAGTAAAACTTGTTGAATTTTTAGAACTGCACATATAGTACATATAATTTCAATACTTTTTACAATATATTCTATACGTATGGACAGCGATGGACAGTAATATAATGCAAATTACAAATTATTGTAACGAAATTCCTTTTGCAGTATCGCTGTATTAATTCATTATATTTTATTTAAATCAACACAATCGTATGTTACGCGATTAATAAAACTATTAAAAGATTTAATATTCATATCTATCTTGGAGATTAGAGAGTATTCAGTGTTTGTTTCATATTTAAGAATGTATCGTATAGTTATTCATAAATAGATCATATTTGATCTATTTTGATCATATTTGATCGTTTTTCGAATAATTATTATTATGCAAAATGTCTATGTATATTAAATTGTACAGGTAATTAAAAATTTTAATATCAATACTTAATTTTTTTTTCCTACGTTGGCAGCCCCACTTTTGCCAAAATTATTGAACTGGGCAATTCTTATAACTTTTCTGACAACTATATCCCCCCCCCCACCGTAATACGTATTGTAATTTCCGTTATATGTTATCAGCTGGTATATGATCATATTACTCCGGACCACGATTTAAGATAGTACCTATCTCAAATCATGCTCGGTACAAAAAACAATTTATTTTTAGAACTCTCGTTTGATTTGTGGTACGATATTTTATGTAATAATCATACCCAAGTATAACCAATAATACCGCAGATACCGGTAGTGAACAAATACCGGTTACCGGTTTCAAAATTTGAAATACCGTCAGCCCTTGTTAGAAGGGGCTCTACAGTCTACCAAGTATTGAAGTGAAGGAAGAATAACCTAACCTAACCTCCCCCCCCCATGGGTCTGTGATTAATCTTAGCTAGAACTGAACAAAAATCTTGCATAATAATATATGCTATATACTGCGTGTACGCACGATAAGTTATGACAAGCGTCGTGCGCATCGCACGGCTATCTGTGTATTACAGTATTTCCCTGAATTTAATATTATTACATTTCATGACCTATGACCTAACTGTATTGTAATTATCATAAAACAGCCGTTCGACAAATGTTACATTGGAGCGACGCCGGAATTGGACGAAGACCGAGTGTTTTGCGGTCAAATGTCAGCCATCTATTTGTTTAGCGAAGCGTTGACAACTCACCAAATATGTGCCATACATAGATTAGGTCCAGGATATAAAGTTAGTATCTATACAGTTTATATTTTTAATTAAAAACTAATTATTTGGGAATTATACTTTTTTTAACGAGAAGGGTTAAACTAACTTTTTGTTTCTAACTGTACCTTCAACTCTCTAGAAATAGTTTTTGTAAAAATTAATGAAATTATGAATTACAAAACTTCTTTTGCACCGTTGATCAATGATTGGGATTTGGAATATGAGTAATGAATCGATATTTTGATTCTAAGTTGTATCGAGATTTATCGATGAACAAAAGTAATAAAAAAGAAAATAATATTTTTTGCTTATAGTTTTATTCATTTTAATTCATCGTAATATAATTATTATTTACCTACTTTTAAATATGTTTATCCTATAGGTACTTTATGTAATCATGTTAAACTTTACCTGATACTGCCCCAATCTCCATCATGCTTTTCATTTTTAATAAGACTTATAATGGTTTGCTTTATTAACATTAATGTTACTCTCTTATTTAACTAAAATATTAATGATTAGTTTAGTAGTTATTTTAATTCATTGTATGCCTTCAATTATAWTATTTTTGTTCAAATATTTGTTTTATATTAATAATAGGTGTTAACTTATTTATTTTTAGTGCCAATTTCGTTTTGATAATGAATGCCATTTAAGTCTACCAGAGAACCACAAAAGGGTGAGTGATTTTAAGAATTTGAGCCAAACCCAGAATTCAGATATTTCTCGCATGCCCCAACACGCTGTCGATAGTTCTGTAAGAATTTTGTTTTGTTTGTTTTTTTAYTATGCACTTTGTATTAATTAATTTTGTTTGTTTTTAGCTTCAGGTGATATATGGTTGTAAAATTGGGATTTAAATTACTGTAATATTTATCTTGTAGGAATTTTCATTTGGTATTTTTTAAAACTTTATTATTCATTTTTTCAAATGTAATTTCATATATCTATGATCAATAATCAAATTTTCTTTTTATTTGAAGGTTTATTTAATTACATGTTTTCATATAGTAAATAATTTATTTTATTTTTTATTATTATTTATKACTATTACAATTAAATGTTTATAAATTAAACTTTTTAAATAATCATTATTCTAAAACTTTGACTACCTATCAAATGATTTGAAAGTATAAGTAGAATGTTATTGTTATGCTTGATCATACATAGGGATGACATTTGGCTGCTTTTTTCTTTTACATAGATATACTATATTACTACATATTCTGCAAAAATTGATTTTCCAAACTCCTTATGAGACTTCAAAGGAGAATTTATAATGTATACTTTTATTTTCATATATGTTTAGTAAGTTTGATAATCTAATATTATAAACCACAAGAATCTTCAAAAAGTGATTCAATATTACTAAGATTTTCCAAGGTACAAAGAAAATATATATATAGTATCTATTTATCGATTGTAAAGAATAATATAATAGTATGTATATATATATATATAATTAGGACTAGAGCATGAACCAAATAAAATAATAATCCATTTCATTGCATCATTTTTAGTGAGTGAGTCATATTATTTTTCACTCCATTCAACAAAAACAATTTATCACTTTATACCCATCCTTTTATATCTAAATTCGTTAATTGATAATTTTCTATTATATTGAAATTTAGGTACATTTTATATGATTTACATCACATAAGTTGACAATATAGACTAAGCATAGTATATGTAAGGTGYCTACATAATGTGTAAGCTTTTGAGTTTTATTAAAAACATAATATATGCATATAATGTGTTTTAATTTAAGTATTGTTGCCATTGTTTTATTTTTGGTTGGGATTTTTATGTGCTTGTTTGTGTACCTATTTTWTTTTTTCTATAAATAGTTTTTCTATGCAATTCCATTAAAAGTATATATTTTACAATATATTATGAGCAATTTGTTCGATTATATTTTGACTTAAAGTATGCATTTCTTTTGAATTATTATCTACCTGCTTTCATTATTTAAAACTTATTATTAGAGTTGATAAGAAAAAAATAATGCTGTTTTGAACATTGAACATTGTAGGTAGGTAAATTACACTTTTTAATGGTAGTAATGTAGCATTAGGCATTTTATTTTATAGTCGTCCATTTTTGGTCTCCTTCAAATTATTATCAGTAGATAAAGTTATTTAATTTTTATTTAGAACAGTTTYATTTTTATTGGTACATTAAAAATAGGTTAATTAAATCAGAGGTGTGTATGGGACCAGTAAATACTGATCAATATAAAATATCTATATTGTTGTAGATGGTTCATAATATAAATTTATTTCTTAATTATATTGTTGATACTTATAGTTATACAAGTATATTAAATTTACATGTCATGTTAAATTAAATTTCATTTTAGGTTTTGTATGATGGTAAATTGTCAAATGCAATAGTATTCATGTATAATCCTGTAGCAACTGATGGCCAATTGTGTTTGCAATCAACCCCAAAAGGAAATGCATCATATTTTGTGCATACACCACATGCACTTATGTTACAGGTACTTCATTGTAATTTTATGTTATATGTATTGTTATTGTTTAAAAAAAAAACAGTTAAATATTCATTTTTAAATCATCTTCAGTAACTTGACAAAACTTATTTTTAACAAAATTGTTAATATTTTTTTTTTTTTTATCAGGATGTGAAAGCTGTCATTACGCATTCCATACATAGTACCTTAAACTCTGTTGGTGGTATACAGGTGCTTTTTCCATTATTTGCTCAACTTGATTTATCTGCAGAACCTATGGATAAAAAAGACGCTTCTATATGGTATGCATGTACCTTCAACTTTTTTTGTCTAACTCTAAATGTATTATATATTTAATTTCACTTTTAAAAATGAACACAGTTAATTTATTATTCAATTAGCTTTGTAAAGAAAATAACAAATAAAAAAGTCATCATCGTTTTTTTTTTTAATTTTAAATATGTTTTAACATAATAACATTCAATTTAAATAGAATTGTRAATAATATTTAATCCTAATTTAAAATTTTGTTAGTGYTTAATTAGTTTTTAATTCTGTTTTAACCAAAAATCGGATATTATAAATTAGTTAGCACACAATACAAWTATGTTTAACTAYAAAGATTTAGCTAAAAAATAAAAATTTTGAATTTTTTCAGTTGGAAGTTATTGGGTTTCATTTGTGATATGGTTGAAACTTCTCAAACAGTACAGCAACACATGATTCAAAATCGTGGATTTCTAGTCATTAGTTATATGTTACAAAGGTCATCTAGAGACCATTTAACRCTGGAAGTATTGGGTTCATTCTTACGGCTCACAAAACACCTAGTCACCAGTCTTACACCTAACAATGAGTTACTACTGAAACAGGTAAATTAAAGTATTAAAAAAAAAAAATTAATAAGACCATATTTATAAATGAATTTTTATTTATTTTGGTCAGCTCCTCGATCATATACTTTTCAACCCTGGTCTGTGGATATATACACCAACTCATGTACAAACTAGACTTTACACGTATCTGGCAACAGAATTCCTTTCAGACACTCAAATTTATTCTAATGTACGTCGAGTATCTACTGTACTGCAAACTGTACATACACTTAAATATTATTATTGGGTCGTGAATCCCAGGAATAAGAGTGGTATTATACCAAAAGGACTTGGTAAATATACAAACATCCTTAATAGTTCAAAATTTTAAAATGTTTAATAAAATATTATTTTTATTCTAGACGGCCCTCGGCCTGCTCAAAAAGACATATTGATTATAAGAGGTTACATTTTATTGTTTCTTAAGCAACTAATGATGTTAGGCGTAGGCTTAAAAGAAGATGAGCTTCAGAGTATTATTAATTACTTGACGACTGGTAAGAATTAATTTAAATTTAATAATAACTTATATTATAACTGATTTCATTTTTTACATGCGCTTATAGTTTGTGAAGATGAAAATCTACATGATGTTCTTCAAACTCTCATGTCTCTTATGTCTGAACAACCAGCATCAATGATTCCAGCCTTTGATGTAAAACACGGTGTACGATGTGTATTTAAACTAGTGGCATCCGAAAGCCAATTAATTAGACTTCAAGCACTCAAACTCTTAGGATTCTTCTTGAGTCGCAGTACACATAAGTAAGTTAAAGAATGTAAACATTATGTATTAGTTAGAAGTAATACAATTTATATTAATAGTGAAACATTCAAGGATCTCTATTTTTATACATATAATTGTTAACTGTGTTTAGTGTGTACAGATTGTAAATAATCTCTTTCTTAATAACAAAAAATGAATAAATCTATATATTAGTGACATAAAAATAAAATTCCCTCAACTAAAACATTAAATTTACATTTTATAGATATAATCAATATTATTTATTATCCATTTAAAGTGCATATTTTTTTAGAAAAAAAAAAATGTTGCTGAAAGTTGATAAATGTCTAACCTGACCTATACATTGAAAAATAGAACAATGTTCTTATATATAGGTATAATACTTTTTTGTAAGTAATTCAAAACATTTTGGTAAAAAGCCAAGTTATTTTAAAATCCATAGTAAGATTTCAATAAAAATAATACAATGTAGCCAATTTTTTTTTTAAATCTAATTTAATGTGTAATAAAGATTTTAAATACCTTGTACTCAAATCAAAAATATAAATTAAATTATATTAATTTAATTTTTTTTTATACAGCAGCTTTACAGTTTTATTTTTCTATGAAAAAATAAAAGACATTGACTAAGTCTTATATATTAAAAGGTGGAAATATTATATGAATAGTAATTATTATTATTGTTTTGTTATTTTAGAAGAAAATATGATGTGATGAGTCCTTATAATTTATATACTTTGCTGTCGGAACGTTTAATGTTAAATGAAGAAACTATTACTCTACCCACTTATAATGTTCTTTATGAGGTTAGTATGAAACAGTAATATTTTATTTTGTTAAAAAGACTACAACTGTTTCGAAACATTTATTTATACCTATTTAAATTATAATATAATTTAAATGATACATGTGAAAATATTGTAAATACTATAATATTATCATAACTAACTAATATTGTCWCCCTACTATTATAGCTCAAATATATATCCAATCATCCCTATAAACATACAWGTAACAACTGTAATCACTATAGCTTATGCCCATAGATGTTGTATTCTTATGATCAGTAAAAAAAAAATTATGATTGTTATAATTACTGTTTATAAAACCAATAAACAATTGATCATAAAATATAAACATGTAGGTATACCTACTTGACCAATTCGATTCCAATATTCAGGTTTAAAATAAACTTGATGATTTATGATTAGGGTCTGGATTTATATGCTCTAAAAACCTCAGAAATAATCATTATAAAATATGCATTTATACTTTTATTATGCTAGAATATACTCTATAAAATAAAAAAGCGAATAAGTGAATGTTGCTCTGCTGTACAGTATATAGTTTACAAGTGGGTTACTGTAATGGATGGTATTAAATTTGAATTCAATAATAAAATATCATTGTATACAAAAAACTATTCTGAGTGGAGACGGTTTGTCAGTCTAGGATCTGTTATACTAYATTGATTTATTGTTAATGTTTCAAAAGAAAAAAAATCTAGGTACCTATAAAATAAATTCCAAATTAATTAAATCAGATTCATTATGTGCCCGACTCACTCAGTCATTCATAATAGGTATTTATCATAAAGTAGGCATACTCTAGACATTTTAAGTRTCCACAAATAATATTTTTAAATTACCACAATATAACTAATATTGTTATTCTTGATTATTTAATATRTAATTAAATCCAAATTCGGACTTCAAATAACTATAATAAAAAACCATGTTTGTATAGTTTTTAGATTTTTTTGRAGTAGAATTATCTACTTACGTGGAACCTTGTTTTAAATTTTTAATTCTTAGCTATGCAATTTAAACATTTAATAAATTTTTGATATCTAAAGAATTCGTAAATTTTCAATTTAATAAATTTGGTCAACATTTGAACTTTAAGTGTAAACTCATAAAGAAACTTGTATTGAATTTTAAAACCTTAGATTTAAAAAGATAAATTTTTATGAATTTTCTAAATCAAAATAAACTGCAAATTTTAACATATTTTGTCAAAATTTGAATTTAAATGCTTATTAAAAAAAATTGTGTCCATGTATTTAATATTTTTTAATTGTCATATTAACAATATATTAGGCATCAATCTTTATTTTAACAACTTATCATGTACACACACACACACAAAACTATTAAAAAAACACACATCGATCATTGTAAAATCAATAGATTCATCGCTCCGCTCAGAATCTAAAATATGCAAAAAAAAATATTGATTAAAAAAACTTTTTTATTTTAATTATTTTTATATATTTACTTAAAATTACACTTCTTTATTTATATGATTTATTTTTTGGCATTTTAAGTATAAATAAATTAAATTAAATTAAAATGATGTGCACTTGGATCACAAAAAACACAAGAAACAAACCTGGCTAATGTATGATTTACGAATCCTACTTATTAATTACTACTTGTTCCAATGGGACTCAATTAAAATAACAAAACAACTACATACAATTATATAGACTATAAATATAACTATAAACATGTTATTTTAATTAATTTAAACAAAATGTTATATATTATGCATTTAAAAACTAAAAAACCATATAATATATGCAATAAAAAATTGTAAAATATAGAAATATACATTGCACGTCAAAATATACAATAATAAAACTTTATATTTTGGATCTATTGATTACCTTTTAGCTTACCTAGCTATTTTTTGAACTGTTTAGAAAAAAACATGTAAATGCAGAGTTTAATCCATCAATTATATTTGATCAGAGATTAATCCATGCTCTAGTTATGATAATGAAGTCTTCTTAAGAAAATAATACGYTGAGTGATATAAATTGTTTTTTTTTTACCTACACAATTGCCACAGCGATAAAAGTTTTTATTGTTCAGAATACATTTCTATGTTATATTCCCTAGTGAATCATATTTATTATTTCGTTTTATAAGGTTTATATGATTTTGAAAATTATATAATAAAAACACTGTTCTGCTCAACTATTCAAGTGTTAGACCCCAGGGAACATTTCAATGGATCAATAAATTGGACCCCTTTTTTTTCTTACCGATTTTATAATACATACAATTTATTTAATAATTGCAATAACAACGTATACAGTTTGACTAGAAATGTGCCTAACAATAGTCAAGTCATTTTTTAATGTGTTAAAGTTSTTAACATTTTACTTGTAACGTTAAATTATTTCTTAAAATTAAAACATATCCATATATTTTTAATGATAAAATATATTAAATACATTTTTTGATATTGTACAGATGAAGTTGTGTTAACATTTGGTATTTTATGAAATTTATGTTTTTGAGGACTTAGTTTACTTCTCTCCTGAGCTGTTATGTAATTTTTTGGTGAAAAAAATTATTTAATTATCATAACATTTTTATTGTAAATGGGCTATATTAATATGTTTGTTAAAATATTAAATTGGGTTTTATAAATGTTATTTATGAAACTAAAATACATATTATATAATTTAAATCCATAACCCATGTGCTACTATATTTAACAAAAATTCAATKAAATTAATATATTTTAATAAATTGATCAATTATATAATTTAGAGCAATGATCATATTTCAGCTTTCAACATAATACTCATATTTTAAATAAATAAATAAAAACATGTTCAATAATAAAACAGTTGATTTACTAATACTATTATTATATAATAATTTATTAATAGTATACTCTGTTCAGCGAGAGAACACGTCACCCGCCAACCAAAACTGATTCCAACAATTGATTTCAATATCAGAGTGACACGAGTGGATGTACGGAATCAGTGTGTTCTTTCGCTGAACAGAATATTTAATTATCTATTCATTTGATATATTTATTTTGTTGTATTTAGATATTAACCGAACGAATAAGTCAACAAATACTTTATACTAGGCATCCAGAACCTGATAGTAATTGTAGATTAGAAAATCCTAGTAAGTGTTTTATTTTTCAATTATCTTGGTTTAATTCTTAATAATTATTTTATTTATATTTTCTCGTTAAATAAAATAGTATAATGTGTATAATATTTTTATTTATTATAGTGATTCTTAAAGTAGTAGCTACTCTAATTCGTCAAGCAAAACCATCCGAACAATTATTAGAAGTAAAAAAACTATTTTTATCTGACATGACAATACTTTGTAGTAACAATCGCGAGAATAGAAGAACAGTATTGCAGATGTCCGTTTGGCAAGTGAGTACTGAATTCAGAGATATTTTACTTGAATTTTGTTAAATGAATTTCTTATTTATATAAGGAATGGCTGATAGCAATGGCATATATTCATCCAAGAACATGTGAAGAGCAAAAAGTGTCTGACATGGTCTATAACTTATTCACAATGTTACTTCATCATGCTATAAAACATGAGTATGGTGGTTGGCGAGTATGGGTTGATACTTTAGCAATTGTTCATTCAAAGGTAATTTTGATATTTTATGATTTTTTGTGATTTTATAAAAACTTTCATTTAAAATATAATATTATACTTACAGGTATCCTTTGAAGAGTTTAAACTTCAATTTGCTTTAATGTATGAACATTATGAGCGCCAGCGTAGTGACAATATTACAGACCCACGTCTACGTCAGCAACGTCCAATCAGTACCATATCTGGTTGGGAAAATCAACCTCCAGCACCACCTATTACTCATTCTCCATCTGAAACTCCAGTGCGCGTTCTTATTAATTTAATTAAAATTTATTATGACTATACAAATATAATATAATTATAACAGTCTAATTTTTGTTTCTTTGTTTCAGGAATCTACTATTAGTACACCTGTAAAAGATGATCCGATGCTTGAAGAATGTGAAGTAAAAGATGAACAAGAGTTGTCAAAGAATTCAGAAACTACATTAAGAGAGAGTGAAATCAAAAATCAAGAACCATCGATTTTAAGTGAAACTAAAAAATTAGAAAATTTAATAGATATTAAAAATGAAAATAACACCTTGAAAACTCAAACTCAGAGTAATGAATTAAGTTMCACAATAGAAATTTTAAAATCAAATAATGAAACATCAAAAGAAATTGAAAATACAGTTGAAGATACTTCTAAAGAAAATGAAAATGTAGAATCACCCAATGATACAACAATTGATGAATTAGTACCAGCTATTGTAGAGAACAAACACAATATTGTAATAGATTTGAATGAGAAAAATGAAACCAATATTATTGAACAAAACAATGGGATTCCATCAAAAATGGTTGAAGATGTAAATACATATTTGGATATTTCAGAAGAAATTAAATTATTGGATGGTACTGTCAAAAATAGTATTCAGCTAGATAATTCAATCGCTGAAAAATATTTGCRAGTAAATGGTGACATTTTACCTGTTGAACATGAAAGCACTMAACAAAATGTTGATGAAATAATTGAAAACCATATAGTATCTAACTGTGAAGAAGACATTGTGTCAAAAGATATTGAAATAAATACTAGTCTTAACATTCAGCTTAGCGAAGATCTTAAAGATAATATTATTAAAGAAAAAGAARATATTGAAATTGCAAMAATGATTGATTCAGAATCAAATGAAAATGTAAAAGAAAAAATAAATGGCAATATTCTAAATCAAGACAGTATTAGTAATAGTAGTGATAGTGAAACAATTATAAATTCAGAATGTTTACAGCATGAAATTAATGAAAATGGTGTAGAAAATAATATTGGGCAAAATGTTGTTGCTCAACCTATATCTGTGATAACAGTTCAGACATTCGACAATGTYGATAGCGATTGTTCAGAAGCGTATTTAACACCAAATGAACTGAATGATACACCGAAAAAAAAATTAGAAAAAATCAATTTAAATWYAAATGATTATACCAGCATTGTTAATGATGATGTTATGTCCCAATTGAATCCGTCCATAGGCTCAAATAATGAAGTGGAAATTCCGTCCAAAAACACATCAGAAGCAATCRTAGAACAACAAATAAAAAAGGCAGATATTGAAAATTTAGAAAAATATGATACTAGTGTTGAAGAGAATATAAATATATCAGAAGAAAATGTTAATAAAGTAGAAGATAAAGTTAATAATATAGAAGAAAATGTTAATACAGTAGAAGAGAAAGTTAATAATATAGAAGAAAATATCAAGAAAATAGAAGAAAATGTTGATAAATTAGAAGAAAATGCTGTTAATACAAATGAAACTATCCATAACATAGATGCCAATGTAGTTAAAGTTATAGAACATGTCAATATAGTAAGAGAAAACGAAGTTGATATAGAAAATGATAAAATTATTGAAAACTGTTATGAAACAGAGAATGAGTATAATGAAGATGTGAACAATAAAGCAGGTATAATTTATGACAATTGTTCAAAAGTAGTATTTAGTACTTTAAAACTAGTATTGATTACTGTGTTAACTAAGGATATCAAATGTCTGATGTGACATAATAGCACACCCAGCTAGTTGCTATTCATTCTGGATCACTTAATAATTTTTCTACATAAGTTACCAAAAAAATAATCATTCTAAATAAGATATTTATTTTTAAATGTCTATCAGAGATCATGTTTTGCTTGTCATTACTGTTATAAGTATTTATCTTAACTACGAAAAACAATTTTTATATCAACCCAG